GATTACTATTCAACTCCGATGAAGAAAATATAGTTCTCTGGAACAACAGAACATCGCAATCGCCAAAATCATTTCGCCCTCTTTGCATTCAATACATTTCAGAAACTGCAGATGTTATTTTAATGCAAAAAAAGAACGTTGAAAAAGAAATTGACAAACTAGAAATTCTTGAAATTGCATTGGATGATAATCGTCGTATTCGAGTTCATTTTTCTCTGTTTTTGACATTAATTGACGAAAAAGTTCTAAACATCATAACAAATACAAAATCAATGCAAAACTGTCCTATTTGTCACGCAACTCCCTCAATGTTTAATAATTTGTCTAATAAAGATAAAGGTATTTTTTTACTAAATCCAAACTCGCTCCAATATGGTTTAAGTCCCCTTCATGCATGGATAAAATTTCTGGAAGTTTGTCTGAATATCTCCTACAGAATAAACATAAAAGTCTGGCAGGTAAGAAAAAAGAGCACAAATTGGAATTTATTGAAAGAAGAAAATATATACAAAACATTTTGTGGGAAAAATTAGGAATTATTGTGGATAAACCAAAACCTGGTGGTTCTGGTAGTACAAATAATGGGAATACCACTAGAAGAGTTTTTCAAAGTCCGGAGTTACTCGCTGAACTGCTTGGACTTAACGTGCAGATGCTTCGGAATTTTAAGAAAATTCTTATTGATTTATCTTGTCATCTTCCTATTGACGCATTAAAGTTTGATGTTTTATACGAATCAACAGCGAAAATTTATGTTGAGCACTATCGTTGGTATTTAATGTCAGCATCTTTGCATAAAATTCTTATGTACGGTGGTGATGTTATAAGAACAAGTTTATTACCAATGGGTATGTTAGGCGAGAAAGCATCGGAATCAAGAAATAAATATTACAAGAGCGACAGACAACATCATGCAAGACAAATCAGTCGAGAAGCTAATCTTGAAGATGTATTTTATAGATCCATGGACAGTACAGATCCAATTATAAATAATATTAGTCTTCAATCACGAATAAAAAGGAAAATGAAATTTCGATGGTGAAAGAAATTGGGGATTTACTTGAAGTTCCACAAGAAACTTCAAACAATGACTATAAAGTGGAAGATGAAGATGAACAGATAGACATATCGGATACTACGGAAACTCTCGAATATTTACAGAACATAGAACTGTCAGCAGAGGAAGACTTGGAAGATTATTATATTTGATTTTTATAAGAAAAAGTGGGAGGCAAGGGGACCCACTCAGAAAGCACCCCGAATGTGAGAGGCTAGGGGAACTCACTCAGAAACCTCCCCGAAACGTGGGAGGCAAGGGGATCCACTCAGAAAGCACCCCGAAAGTTAGAGGCTAGGGGAACTTACTCAGAAACCTCCCCGAAACGTGGGAGGCAAGGGGACCCACTCAGAAAGCACCCCGAAAGTGAGAGGCTAGGGGAATTCACTCAGAAACCTCCCCCAAAATGTGGGAGGCGAGGGGATCCACTCAGAAAGCACCCTGAATGGGGTTTAAATAGCACTGCAACCTCCTTGTGGTATACTCTGGAAAATACAATAACAGTAGGCGAACTGCAGGCAAAACAATAAAAAATATTAACTTTTTAAAATTAAAAACTATCACTTTTACTATAAATCAGCAATCCAAAAATCTGATTCAAATATAAATTTAACAATTTTTGCATAATAAAGCCATCATATTGGATCCGCCATTTTGAATTTTGAAAAACTAAGCTATTCGTAATCAGCTTCCTTAAAAACCCCTGAGAAATAATTTTCAGGCAAATTGTATCAACTTTTGAAAAACTGTCTACCACATTAGATCCTCCATTTTGAATTTTGAAAAAATAAGTTCAGATTCGTAATCAGCGACCCCAAAAACTCCTAAGTAATAATTTTTAGGCCAATTGGATCAATTTTTAAAAAAATGTTGCCATATTGGATCCGCCATTTTGAATTTTGAAAAACTAAGTTCAGATTCGTAATCAGCGACCCCAAAAACCCCTGAGTATTAATTTTCAGGTCAATTGGATTAAATTTTAAAAAATTGTCTGCCATATTGGATCCGCCATTTTGAATTTTGAAAAACTAAGTTCAGATTCGTAATCAGCGACCCCAAAAACCCCTGAGTAATAATTTTCAGGCAATTTTAAATAAATTTGGAGTTTTGGCCAGCAAACTAGGTCGCCTGGCCCACTGTGACTGCCCAGCGAAACACAGAAGATTCGGTTTCTGTAGCGGCCGACCCATTTTGTAGGGTTCGCCATCTTAGTCCCCACGAGAGATATCGAGAAGTAGCCTCCTACTGGGTAAAAGCCCCTCGTGCGCCTCCCACCAACGGCAAGGTCTTGAAACCCCTAGAGAGGGAATTTAAGGGTAGATCAATTATAAAAAAATAATTTTATAAGCAACAGTTTTATAAACAAAAATGTAATTTAAAATTTTAAGAGTGTCTTAAATATTTTAAAAATAATAGTACATTATTCAACTAGGGAGGTAAGTCTAAGTTTTTCAATATTGTGCGAGGTCATAAACAAGGTTACCTCCCTTGTTCCATACTTTGCTTTATACAACAAAAGCGTATTATGGTTACTCTATGCTACCTGTACCGGTGTAAGCGGTCAATAATGTACCCTTTATCTCCCTAGGGCTATAGTGGATACTTTATTGACTGCTGGGTTATAAGGGGGAACTTAGTACGCGCCTGTACAGGTAGATAAAGTGACCATAATACGCCTGAGTTGTATAAAATTAATTACTATACAGGTCTATTGATAATAGATTACAAAATATTATCCAAGTACTTTCGGGGCGTATTGGATAATTTTGACCGGGTGCGATGATTAAAAATTAATGACCAAGTAAAACTCCTAATGTTTGTAATAATGTTATTAGAAACTACGTTAAAAGTTACTAAGAAAGAAATTTGAATAAATTTTTCGTATTTTAAAACTTTGAAAAAATTTAACAGATTTTAATAAAAAGCAGAGGACCACGTTTTTTAAATGTGACTGCAGTTTTACTTTCTTCAATTTTCTTTAATGAAACTATTTTAATATTTTTTACTATAAGTATAATACAGGGGAAAGGTGTACGAGATGATCCCGCTAAGGGTGAATGACCATTATTCAAAGAAAAATCAACATTTTTGAGTTTGTTTTGTACGAACTAGTAGATAATTAATTTATCTAACTTTTCTAATTAGAAATATATGCAGCTAATTAATATTTTACAAGTAAATTTAATTTTTCTAAAACCTTACAAAAGGATCATCTTGGACACCGGGGTGTCCAAGATGATCCCCCTGGTATGAGCAAGATGATCCGTAGGTTTATCTTACCCCAATTATTGGAAAAGGAGACTACATTAAAGAAATAACGTATATTAATATTAAATATGCTTTATTTAGGTTATAAATGCCTTTGAACACTTACCAAGATTCATTTTTCTATTTTATAATTTCGTGGCATAATAATAATTTCTTGTATATAATTTATAATTTTATAATTTATTATAATTTCTTGTCTACAACAAGAAAATTAATAAAAAAGATGTAGATTTCAACTTTTTGTTTAAAATAAATTAGTTTTGATAATAAAAACATATAAGAAGCGAGAAAAATTAAATTTTTTATTAATACTAGAAAATTCACTTTGAGGTAAAACGAAATACATGGGAATCAGGGGGATCATCTTGACACCCATTGAGAGATCATCTTGCCCCAAATGCCACTATTTTGTAATTTGTTCGTAACTCAATCTACGAGCTCTGTTATTCCATAATACCAATCATAACACTTAATTGAAGATAAACTGAAGCTGTGAGTACAAGAAAAATGGAATTACAGCTGGTACAACAAAAGTTATCTAAGTACAAAGTTAAGCTTTCCTTCGATCAAAAGTATGAAATTTTTATTTTTTACAATAGAATTTTTTTAATGACGCGTGTTATCATGACAGTTTGACTGATTCATAGGTATGTCAGTGGCAACATATTACCGTATTTGCCAAAAAGGTTACGCTAATAGGCTCTCCAAAACTCAAAAGGATCATCTTGCCCCAGGGTATCATCTCGTACACCTTTCCCCTACAAACCTCACTTAACAATATAATTTTATCAAAATCTAAACTTATAAATAATGATTTTCACACATTATTCATTACACCACAGGTCGGTATCCATCACGCCCCAGCTGGCCCGGGACGAATTTGATAACTCTGCATTGATCCAAAAAAATAATTCTAGAAAAAAAAGTAGAAGGGATATCGGGACATACTTTTTTTTAACAAAGTTAAGATACTACAGTCACTTTTCTGTGGAATAAACATTTAAATAATGTAAAAATGGCAGAGTAAAATAACAAAGATCGCCCTTCTCTATTTGTTGATAAACATTCAATTAAAAAACAATAAAATGGAAATATTTTAAGGGGAAGAAATACTATATTTTTAACTATAATTATCAAGAAAATAATTTAAATATCCTGTAAAATTGTTTTATAGTAATTTTTAAAGAGAAATTGAATATAGTCATAAAATAAAATCGGTCAGAAAATATTTTGAACCTTTTTGAAATTTTTAAGCATTTTTGTAGAATTGGTCATTAAACAGATGGAATTTTTAATTGTCGTATTATTGAGTCGGTTATTAAATCATCGGAATTATTATTTGTCATATTATGCGCAATCGGAATTTGTAGATTTGATCATTGAACAGTCTTGATTTTAAATTGCCACATTATTAACACAATATGCATCGCAACAATTTTGATACGTTTTTTGTTGCAATTTGATATCCTCAGAAAAACTGTGCTTCAATGTTACCTTACGACAAATAATTAATACTGTAGCAATATTGTCTCAACATTCCAAGAAATATTCGTAGTATAGACTAAATATTGTGGTCATTTGTGGTAAAATTTCTGTTTTTAATTAATAATATTTTCGATAAAAAAATTATTACACTGATTCATGTCTAATTAATACAACTTATTTCTATTCATAGCTTGAAAAAGACGACGCTTTAACGGAAATTGAAATTCTGAAAGACAAGATGGAGAAAGTTCAGTACACTTTAAATAAAGCACACGAGGAACGAGAAACTAGCAATAAAGAGTGTGAAAAATTAATGGAGAAATATGACAGGTAAGTATTTTTAATGCGTTTATTTCTGTTTCATTTTTAATATTTTAAAAATAATTGTAGAAAGAAATTTTTTTCCGAAAAAAGTGAAAAATCTGCACAAAACGTCAAAAAATGAGAATTGTTTAACGCATTGTTTCTCTAGACGCACAGTTTAAAAAATATTATAGGAAAAATCTAAAATTTATAAAAAAGCAGCATTAAAATTTCCCTTTAAAGTCAAAATCAAGAAAGTTTAGGGTACAATATAAGTAAAAGAAGAAGGTGAAAAATGAATTTAAAATTAGTAACATAAACTTTTGTTTGCAGATCGCAGAGTGAAGTGTATCGACTGCAAAATCGAATTGACGTTCTGGAAGCGGACAAGGATCGTTTGGAATTGGAAGCAGAGAAGCAACAGATGTTGGGTTCAAAGAGCAGAGAAGAAGCACGCAAAGCACAAGAAGAACTGGCACGCATTCAGGAAATGTACGACAGAGCAGCACTTCAGCTTGGGCGTACCAAGGAGCACGAGGAGAAGTCCAAGGAGGATCTCGATCGATTGACAGTTGATTTAGAAATGGTTCGCGAGAGGTACGAGAAGTCACAAATCGAAATGCGTCGTTTACAGAACGAGCGTGAAAAACTTGTCGCCGACAACGAGAGGATAAGCTTCGAGCTGGAGCGAGCACAGTCGCAATTGCACAAGGCTCAAGCGGCCACCGAGAAGACGCAAGAGGAACTCGCTCGAATGCAACTCGAATTGGAGAAAATGTACGAGAAACACGATCGACAGCAGGCGGAAGTTCGTAAGGCGCAAGCTGAGGCCGAGAGATTGCGAGCCGATGCAGAGAGTTCACGCGACGAGAGCGAGAGGTACGCGGCACGTTTCGGGAAATACCAGGAGAACACCGAACGTCAAAAGGACGAATACGAGAGAGCGAAGCTGGATAACGAAAGGCTGAGGGATCGCCTTGAGAAGACAGTGGCGGAACTTGACAGAGCGCGGAAATCCGAGCAGGAAGCCTCAAGATTGCGAGCCGATTTGGAACGGGAGCAAGGCGTTCGAGGTAAATACCAATACGAGCATGAGAAGTGGCAGAGCGAGGGTGGTAAACTCCAGCAGGATCTGGAAAGAACCAAGGAGCGCCTGGAAGCGCGTGAAAATGAGCTCAAACGATCTCAGTCGACAATCGCCGATCTCGAGACAAAACTTCACGAGTCCCAATTGCAACTCGATAGATTACGCGACGAAGCCAATAAAGTCCGTCAGTCAGAGGAAAAAAATCGGGCCGATATCGAACGCACCAGAATCGAAGCCGAGAAGGTCAAAGATCGCTACGACAAAATGAAAGTAAAAGCGGACGCTCTCGAGGCCGACAACGAGAAACTTCGAGTCGAGATTGTCCGTCTAGAGAGACTGATGCAAACGGAAGGTAAAACAAGATCAGAGAGCGCAAGTATCGAAGTCGAAAGACTCAGGGCGAGTCTGGATAAGGCAATCACAGCCCGGGACCAGGTCGAACTGGAAGCCGGTCGCCTAGCCAAGGAACTGGAGAAGTCGCAGATGCACATCACGAAATTCCAAGAGGCGGCCGAGGTTGCCAAGAAGGAACTCGAGAGATTGAACGGTGAAGTAAATCTCTCCCGGGAGGAGCGAGACGCCCTACGACAGGAGTTGAGGAGAAGTCAGCAGCATCACCAGATGGCCGGCAATGAGGAGATCGCTCGTCTTCAGCATGATCTACAACTAGCGCAGAGAGATCGCGACAAACTAGCCGCGATTCATGAGAATCGTGAGAAACACGCCGAGAAGGTGGAGAAAGCCAAAGAGAAACTGGAGGCAGAGGCGAAGCAGTTGCAAGTCGAGAGGGACCAACTTGTCATCCAGCTGGAGAAGTCCCAGGACATGTTGATGAATTTCCGACAAGAGTTAAACAACAGCGAGGCCGAGGGCGAGAAGCAACGGGAAGAGGTCATTAGACTCCAGCAACAGGTTCAGCAGTTGCAACAACAGAGAGCGCAAACCCAAACACCGGATCGAGCCGCACAGGAAGCGATGGAGGCACAACTTCGAGAGGTTCATCGCCTCAACCAACAGGTCCAAACCCTCACCCAGAATCAGAACAAAGAGAGGCAACGCGCCGAGATGGCCGAGAAGACAATTCAGGAACTGCAGAAGCAACTCGCTGCCGCGGCGTCCGGTGCTCCCGCCTCCAAGGAGCAGATCGAGCAATGGAGAAAGATGTGCGAGACCGAGAAGCAGAGGGCCGACACTGCTGAGAAGAGGGCGCAGACGATGGAACGGCAGTTGCACGCTCATCAACAGCAAATTCAGCAAATGCAGGCGAATCTTCATCAGAATCAAAGTCAACAAAACGGCTCCGAAGCTGCGCGATTGCGAAAGGAGTTGGACCGTGCGCGTGAGGAGGTTCAACAGGCGACTGTTGAACGCGAACGATTCCAGACTCAAATCGAAATGCTGTGTCAGGAGTTGCAGAAAAATCAGGTTAGCAGGCCGCTCATCTCGTCCTTGACAAACCTGCGAGAGGATACTGTCAGAATTAAAAAGTTCCATCATATATGCCCAGCACGCTCACAATGCACGAAATTTTTTTACTCACCTCTCTCACTTCGCCACTTTTTTATACTTTCGTGAATCAAACAAGAGACATTTTATCTTCCTATGGAACATATCATTCTTTTCTGCATAATCAACGTCTGTATTTAATGCCATTCACTTATTTTACTTGGATGTTTGTCTTCAAACAATTGATGTTGCGGTTTAGGTTACGCTATGGTTCAAGTCTTGCAAGCAAAAGTGAATCCTAATTTTTACTTTTTCAATCGTTTTTATTTCTTCAATTTTTTCTATTACATTATTTCCTTCATAAATAATGCTGTCCCTCGTGATCAAAATTATGTTGAAATTATGACGTGATTATAATTATAATTAGGCGAAAATGTAATTGAAATGTTCAGGAAAGTTTCGCGCTAAATATTTATTTAATCGAGACATTTAAATCTTTACACAACTTTCAATAAACATTGCAATTACATATTCCGAACATTGCAAGTAAATATTTAATAAATTTTTAGGAAAGTTTCGGTGCTGTGGGGGTACATTTCGACTTCATTTTATCTGTTGAGTTCTTAAAGTTTCTACTAGTCTCGCTGAGACTACATTTAAGACTTACATATAAAAATAAGTCATAAATGTGTATTGCTTTAAGATTAAGGCGTGTTAACAATATTCTTAAGCTAATTATGAGACTAAAATATCGTTACAGACTAAAATTAAGCCTGATTTTAAAATTAGTCCTTCACAGATTTAAGACTTTTTTTCTGTGTACAATACTTACACAGCAGGTTTGCCAATAAACAATTTTTTAATAAAAAGAATAAGACTTTTTATGCAATTAAGTTAATTGTATTAATAACAAAAATAATTCTTTTTCTTTTAAATTATCTTTTGTTCGAAAACGTAACTTCCCAGTGAGAAATTTTTCACCGGTCCAATATTGGGAGCCAAGAAACCGAACATCGGTCCAATAAAAGCTCCCAATATTGAACCAATATTAGCTGATGCTTGTGATGTAACGGGTTCGCCAAGCATCGGTTGTTACTATTGGTCCAATATTGTCAAACAAGAGAAAAAATTTTTTTTAATTAAATAATAGTAATAAATTAATGTTTATAATTTTTTTTTGATATATTTATTTTTAATAATTTATGTAAATAATAAATTATAATTGCTTTTAAAATGCAGCAGCTATTAGGAAATAGCACTCTGCAAAAAATTCTAAAATAAAATAAGGCCGTCGGTAATGCGATGCGTGACAATTGCGCCAACACGGCAACCATTACTGGACCAGTTATTTATTGTCTCTTGGCGATTTCTCACTGGGTTTTTGTGCATATTAAAAGTAATTTACTTATGTCTAAAATGTTATTTTTTCCTACTGAAACATAGAAAGTTTTTTGTTTAAATGTAGAAACAATTATTTTTGACTTTATAGAATAATTATTCCCATGAATAGAAAGTTACCTTTTTATTAATATAATTAATTTATTCCATTATTAAAAGCTTTTAATTTTTAATAAAAATGTTCACACACACACACAAAATCTTAATTTCAAATATAATTAAATAATATGGACTTATTAAATGAGAATAGAGACTTTTGTCTTTAACATCTTACATCAAATAATTAAATATATTCAATAGTAACAATGATTGTGTAAATAATAATATAATTCTATAAATTTTCTTTTTTAAGTTAGTTACTTTATTTCCTATTTTTTTTATTAATTTAATTATATTTTATTTAAAAATTCACAAATAGAAACAACGTCATTTAAGATAAAAATTATTTTACATAAAAACTATTTTTTATAAAAAAAATTTCTTCCCCACAGAATAGATTTAAAAGACAAAAATGAACGTTTAAAAAGTAAGAAACGTTTTTGTCGTAAATTAAAGAGCTTTTATCGGAAGTTTTGATATTCATCGAAGATTCTTGTAAACCATCTGAGAATTATAAATAGAGTGTCTGCCGATAATTTTCACGTATAAAAATTCGATATTTTTTTGCTGTATCAAAATTTATATTGTGATCACTGTTTCTTGCAAGACTTTAAATTGTCAGTGTCAGAATGTCACGCGTTAAACATTATTTTGTATTATCGATTTACTGCATCATGACCCCCACAAAAGTAGGCACTGCTTCAGTGCACCTGCGTCGTGCCTTAGATTCTATTATATTTATATTACTATATGTGGGTGATTTTCATAAAACTCAAAATTTTGCGCTTTTACAAAAATAAACAAAAAAAGCAACATTTACACGGAGAAAATTTGTTCCTTATATTTTACCAAATTTTTCAATAAAGTTGGGATATAGTAGCATAATCGTAATTTTTAATAATTTTTATATTATTTTTTCGGTAACAATATTTAAAATCTAATGTGATATCTTTATTCCTTAAGAACTAGTACTGTAAAAGTTGAAAAAAAATTGAAACTGAACGTTTAATGTAAATTAAATAAATACCTCCTTGATGGGCACTAACGTTTCAGGAATAGTTCGGTAAAACTTCCTTGACTTGCCTAAAGTTTTAGTTTTCTGGATTAAAATACTTTATTTCAAGTGTCCCGCAGTCAAATGAAAGACTTTCACACTAATAGTTGATTTTTCCAACTTACTTAGACTTAATTAATAATCATTTTATTATTATTTAAATTAAAATTCAATTAATTAATTATTTTAAACACTTATTAATTGCCAAATATGTAATAAATGCTTTCAAATCATATAAAAAGAAAATATAAAATAGCAATAACATACTTATTTTTTTAACATATAATTTATTCATTTTAATTAAACATGAATAATAGTAAGTAAGTATGTAAGTAAGTAAATAAGTAGGTAAGCAAGTAAGCAAAAAGGAAATAACTTGCTTGCTTACTAGTTTACTTTCTTATTTGCATACTTACTTGCTTACCTACTTATTTGCTTACTTGCTTATTTCATTCCTGCTTACTTCCTGCCTTATTTACTTACTTCCTAATTTCCTTTTTGCTTACTTTGCTTACTTGCTTGTTTCCTTTCTGCTTACTTACTTCCTTATATGCTTACTTGCTTACTTTCTTATTTCCTTCTTGCTTACTTTGCTTACTTGCTTATTTCCTCCTTGCTTACTTTGCTTGCTTGCTTATTTCCTTCTTAATTACTTACTTTCTTATTTGCTTACTTTCTTACTTGCTTATTTCCTTCTTGCTTACTTTATTCCTTATTTGCTTACTTGCTTATTTCCTTTTCGCTTTTTAATACCTCACAATTATTATTTAATATTTCAGAAAGATTAATTTTCTATTAATTAATTTAATAATTTCCAACTTGCACTTTTAATATGTATATTTTTAATTTTAAACACAAAAATTTGAGAATAATAAGGATTTTCATAAATTATTGTTTTATTCCATTAAATACAAATTTAAACATTTTTCTTTATAATAATAAAAACATAATTTAAAAATATTTCATAAATTGACCTTGAATATAGTTAGAAATGATTCATTAATATAAATAATTTTGTACAACGATAGTTTATTAATTTGAATCTTTCTCACAAGCGGTGAAATAAAATTGAGATTAATATATAAGGACAGTTGAAACTTTCTAAAGCATTAATGTAAAGCGTGCGATGTGTGTATTAGTGTATGCGTTTAGAATGTACTGTAGGCAGGTGTATCAATTAGTATTTGTTCGTAAACAATTGTAGGGGGTTTAGGTAGTAATTAAAGTAGGTAAATTGAGAGTTACGGCAGTATTAATATAGATCTACTGAAGTAACATTATTTTTTATTTTTGTTCTTCAAGTTTTACCGAACTTTCAGTAAATTGCAACTCGTCAGTTTTACCGAAGACTTTATCTTACGTTTTACCGAACTATTCAATAAATATGAATGTAGCGAGCACTTGGCTTACGTTTTACCGAACTGTAAGTGAAGAGCTAATACATGTATCGTGAGCTTTATGATTTTTACATTATTTTTCAATCCAATTTCTTTTACAGTCTAGTTCTTGAAAAATTACTGTTTTGACACTTCATCCCAGTTTTACCGAACTAAATTCAGTAAAATTTCAGGAATAAATTTTCTCCGTGTAGAGATACATTCTAATTTTTACTATATTTCTATTAAAATATGAAATTGCAACTCATAAAATGTTTAAGTTTCAAAAGATTTATTTTCCCTTTGGTAGTTAAATTTGAATGTAATTTTTTTGTATCAAAAAGAATTTCATTATATCTTTGTTTTAGTATAACAATTTCACTGGTAAGAAATATTTTAAAATAATTTTTTTAAAAAGAAATTGGGAATTAGTTTTGTCAAAGTCACTCTTTGAAATTCGATTTTTCAACTTATTTTTTTTTAAATTATATGGTTTTTTTTATTGAACTTACTTAATTTCATACTCAAGAGTAAGAATTCAAGTTGCGCAAAATTAATTGTTGAAAATATTAAAGTTTTTCTCTTTAAAGAAGATTGACTTTGTTGCTCCAATTAATCAATTTTATTTGTTTCCTAATTTTTTTTATTAAATATACACACTAATATAATTCATAATAAAATTACACTGTTAAAAAAATAATAATTTTCATATTTTAATACTAAATATATTCAGTTTAATTAAAAAAAAAATCTATAGTTGATGGTTATTTAGGTTAATATTTTCAAATCAATGCAGGTAAATACTAAAAACAAAAGAAAAACTCGCACATTTCAAGGAAAAAGCTTCGGAGATGAAAGCTTCGAAAATGAAAAATAAATTTTTAGGGTTTCATGGCCAAGGGCCAAAACCCTTATAGCGAGACTTCGGTGTCCGTCCGTAGTTTTTACGTCTTAAGTCTTATGTAATAAGGTTTAAGTCTTAAGTCTTATAGCGAGACTTTGGTATAAGAAGGTCTTAACTCCTATGACTTAAGGGGTTACGCCACCCTGAAATTTTCAAAAAAATTTATGTTTTTTTTTTGCTTAATTTCAAAGTTTATATTCTAACGAATATTTTGAGATGTCGCCGAAGACAATGTCTCACTAATTACAAAAGTTATGGTCATTAGAAGTCAGCGCGGTGGGGACGCGCCGAGAGCTGCTGGAAGCAGCGACTTTCTATTTTCGAATGGTCTAGGGGGCCCTTTCATGATTTAGGAAGGGTCCTTTTCATTGTATCCCTTCCATTCTTAAATAAAAAAAATTATGGCCCAGGAATTGCTGATTAAATAGTAAATTGAAAAATTTTCAAGTTATAATACACTAAAGTTCATTTTTTTCTTCTTTTGCGTTTTTCTCGAAACCACAATTTTCGAGACGGTGTACACGATAACTCAAAAACTATTCAATCGATTGACTTGAAAATTAATATACATCTTCCTAAATAGATTTTCCACAGAGTGACGTGGGATTTTTTTGATTGAATAATTTGAAAATTTTTTATCCAATTTTTTATACGGTAATTTTAGCCAAAAAAAAATGTCAATTTTTGAAGTGCTTCCATTTGCGTAAAAAATTTTTTTTTTTAAAATGGCTTCGTCACTCTGTTCAAAATTTATCACTTTTTAAGAAAAATATTGTTTTACTTGTTTCTGACAAAAATTGAACTGCCAATCATGTACACCATCAAGGAGTGCTCCGGAAAAATTGATCCACGCCAATAGTTATATCTCCGCCATTTTTAATTAAAAACAATTTTTTTTTAAATATTTATAAAGCTCAATATATGTACTAAAGCATCAATAAATGTAAAGAAGTCCTACCTGAAACAGTTTTATCAAAAAAATTCCTAAAAAACCATCCGATTTTTATGCGTTCAGGGTGGCGTAACCCCTTAAGACGTAACTTCAGTATAAGAAGGTCTTAAGTCCTAAGACTAAAGACTTAACTTCGGTATAAGAAGGTCTTAAGTCCTAAGTCCTAAGTCTTAAGTCTTATGTCCTATGTCTTAAGTCTTAAGTCTTATAAGTCTTAAGTCTTAAGACAACATAACAACCATTGCCATGGTAACCGTTGCTATGTTAATGGTTGACATAACAAACGTTGCCGTTGCAACCGTTGATACAGTAATGGTTGCCATTACAACCGTTGCCATGGCAACCGTTACTATGATAATAAAAAAAAATTTTCAATCTTAAGTACAAAAAAATTTCTAAATAAATTATTATTTATTTATTTTTTTGTCATTTTAGGCCACGAAACCCTATGATGTAGGCGCATTGCGCCTGCTTCTCTGACTGATTTTTTTCACATTTATTCACATTAGAGAACAATTAAAATATATTTTTTAGTAAAATTTACAAATTTCACACCGTAATTTTATATTATCATCAAAAATATTTCGTCAAAGTTACTCGTATACTCAATTATTTAATAAAAAGCAAAGCTTCGGAGATGAAATTAAATTTTTACTTGGGCCAATAAGTAAAATTTGATTATTTATAAAAGCAATAATTTCCTTCCTTTTCACAAATAATATATGGACAAATTAAACTTTAGACACTCAACTTTATTTTAGTGTGCATTAAATTTTTGTTTAGAATAGTTTTAATGTATAAAAATATCATTAATCATCGTGAGGTAATTTTAACCTAAAACTGAAGACAAATAGTTTTAACATTTTTATCATATATAAAACGGAGGTCTAAAAATTTTTTAAAAGCACATAATGATAGAAAAAACATTGTACTTTCTGACGACACTATTTTTTAAAAAATTCTAAGAGTTTGAAAAAAAGCATAAAAGTTTAGTTTTCTTATAGAAAACCTATTGGAGACATGCTAAAAAGGCTTCGGAGATGAAATTATTTTAGCTATTGCATAAATTCAGTAGAATAAAATTGTTTAATTTTTTCTTTTTAATGATAAGTAAGTGCTAAATTTTTATTATGAAAATGGTTAACAATTATTAGCGAGTAGATTTTATAAAATTAGTCGAGAAATCAAAAATATCACAAAGTGTCACTTTCGGAAGAATCACCCAAATACGTTAAATCAAATTAGCAGGGTCATTTCGCAGGAGAGTTAAGGTTCATGTCTCAGATTTTTTTTATATTTTGCTTATTAATAGTATTTTGGGTCCTAAACAACTATACCAAATTTTAATTAAATATTTTTATTATTTTTCAAGATATTTGCATTGCAAATTTCTTGACATGTTTTTTTCATTTTATTATAACTCACTTATTTTTAAAAATTTATTAAATTTGTTAAGAACCTTTTTTACGTGAAAACCATTGAAGTTTAGTAAAAAAAATTGAAAATTAAAAAATATCAATTTTTTTAATTATTTATTTATAAAATTATATTTATTTTTAATGTTTAAGCATGAGCCCTATCAGATTTTGTTTTAAAAAAAATCTTATTTCAAAGTTTAAGATCTCATTAAAAAACCGTGAAATTTTTAGAATGGCATCTGTCTTTGTTTTTTAGTAATAAATTGTCAAAGTTTTAATTGCACTATCGCGCGCCGGCTCACAGTTGGATTTTTTTACAATTTACTGTTCAAAAATGACTACAGCCTACAATTTTTAACCGATTTGAGTGTTTTTTGTTTTAAATTTAAGGGGACATCCTGGGAGGCCGATTTTTTAAATATTAATTGTTTATAATTTTTTATTTTAAAAAAATTAATACAATTTTTTTAAAAAGGACGTTTATTTTCTTATTCCGTTACTGCACATGATTTAAATAAGTTCAAAATAATCCAATATATCCACCAGACAATTAATAAAACAAAATAATTTATTTAAATTGTTATGAACAATATTAATTAACAAATAGTTAACTTTGATTCCTCTTCAATAAAAAATGTTTTTTTTCACATTTACTTTTATATTTAGGTTCATTTAAAGAATATATGTCCTCTCCTTGTTTAAATAAGTTATTTTTTAAACAAGTAGGACATGTATTCTTGAAATAAAATTAAATCAAAAAGAAAATGTGGAAAAAAACCTTTTTTAGTGAAGAGGAATCAAAGTTATCTATTTGTTTAATTATATTGTTTATAACAATTTAAATAAGTTATGTTTTGAACGAGGAGGACATATATTCATTAAATGATCCTAAATATAAAAGTAAATGTTAAAAAAAACATTTTTTAGTGAACAGGAATCTAGGTTAACATTTTGTTAATTAATATTGTTCATAACAATTTAAATAAATTATTTTGTTTTATTAATTGTCTGGTGGATATATTGGATTATTTTGAACTTATTTAAATCATGTGCAGTAACGGAATAAGAAAATAAACGTCCTTTTTAAAAAAATTGTATTAATTTTTTTAAAATAAAAAATTATAAACAATTAATATTTAAAAAATCGGCCTCCCAGGATGTCCCCTTAAATTTAAAAGAAAAAACACTCAAATCGGTTAAAAATTGTAGGCTGTAGTCATTTTTGAACAGTAAATTGTAAAAAAATCCAACTGTGAGCCGGCGCGCGATAGTGCAATTAAAACTTTGACAATTTATTACTAAAAAACAAAGACAGATGCCATTCTAAAAATTTCACGGTTTTTTAATGAGATCTTAAACTTTGAAATAAGATTTTTTTTTAAACAAAATTTGATAGGGCTCATGCTTAAACATTAAAAATAAATATAATTTTATAAATAAATAATTAAAAAAATTGATATTAATTAATTGATATTAATTTTCAATTTTTTTTACTAAACTTCAATGGTTTTTACGTAAAAAAGGTTCTTAACAAATTTAATAAATTTTTAAAAATAAGTGAGTTATAATAAAATGAAAAAAACATGTCAAGAAATTTGCACTGCAAATATCTTGAAAAATAATAAAAATATTTAATTAAAATTTGGTATAGTTGTTTAGGACCCAGAATACTATTAATAAGCAAAATATAAAAAAAATCTGAGACATGAACCTTAACTCTTCTGCGAAATGACCCAGCAGAATTATTATGTTTTATGTACATGCAATGCATTTTTTACTATTACTTTGCAAATTGCATTAGCCAAAACAATAAAAAGATAAACCTTCTTATGTATCTAAGGATATTTTTTTAGAAAATGATAAATAAGCTGAACAATGAAATTTTTTGTTATGGCTGTTGTGTATATCTTTGAGATTTAAAATTCGAAGCTGCTTCTAAATTTTAATTTTAATCAATTTTTTTATGAATACAGTTAACAATTTTATTTGTATTGAATTTTTGTTGAGCATAAAAATTTAATTTTTAAATAAAGATTAAAGTTTTCAATTTTCAATTCAAAATAACAAATTTATAAATAAAACATTTATTTTCAAATGGAAGTAAAAATTTAATTTTTAAATGAAAATAAAATTTTTATTTGTAAATGGAAAGAAAAATTTAATTTTTAAATTAAAACAAAATTTCGTTTTTAATTTAAAACCATATTAATGATCAAATTTTGAGTGTATAATTTTATTAACTGTCGTTTATCATTTTTTTGACATCTGCATGTTCTTTTACTATCTTTTATATCAACTAGAATTCATTTGTCTTTTGGAATAAAATCAATGAAGACAATTAAAGTTTTTGTGAATTCAAAAGAGAACTGAATTTTTATTATTTTTTCGATATTTAACAAAATAGTATAAAATTTCGTTTTCATTGATTATTTTCTGATACAGGTGGATCTTCACGAAGCAAACAAGAAACTTCAAGCTTCACCCGCGAAAGCTGGTGGTGATACTAGTCAACAACACAAACAATTGGAGGAACAGAAGCGACAAGTGGAAGAACAGAAAAAGCACATGGAAGAGAAAGCAAGAATGGTCGATCAGAAGGCAAGGACGATAGAAGAAAAAGAAAGATCTCTTCAAAATCTCGATCAGGAACTAAAGAAACGAAAAGCAAAAATGGACCAGCTCGAACAACAGTTGCAGAAGGCAATTATTTTTATAATTTGAATCATATTGGGATTTTTCTTTTGTCCCTTTTGCTCAATTTTATCCTCTCTACAGAGAGAGTAGAGAGAGTAAGAAAAAAAAGTTGATATATCAACTTTTTTTTCTTACTCTCTGATTATTTCTTTCTCCCTTTTTCATATTCTCTACTCTTCTTTTTCTATATATTTCTTTCCACTTCCTTTTCTTTTGTCTGTTCACATCACAAATAAATTTTTTTCGGTGTTTATCTCTCTTTTGTTTTTAGGGTTCCGTACACCATAGGTGTACTGACGGAACCCTTATGAAATCACTCGTGTGTCCGACCCAGCTACGCAAAATAAGCTGTCCCCCCCTTAACTTTTACAAATCTCAACCTAGTGAGCTGACATTCGGGAGGGATCTTCAGTTTTAAGTGCAGATTACAGGAAAAATATAGCGAACCCAATTGACGGACATATTTGCGAACTAGGAGGGAAAGAAATTGAATTTTTCAGAAAAAAGTACAAAAAATGACCCTGTCCCCCCTCCTTAATTTTTACAAATCTCAACCTGGTGAGCTGAAATTCGGTAAGGATTTTCAGTTTTAAGTGCAGATTACAGGAAAAATATAGCGAACCCAATTGAAGGACATATTTGCGAACTAGGAGGGAAAGAAATTCAATTTTTTCGAAAAAATTGAAAAAATTACCCTGTCCCCCCCCTTTAACTTTTAGAAATCTTAACTTGATGAGCTGAAATTCGGTAGGGATCATCAGTTTTAAGTGCAGATTACAGGAAAATTATAGCGAACCTGATTGGTGGAGATATTTGGGAACTAGAAGGGAAAGAAATTGAATTTTTTTGAAAAAATTGCAAAAAATGACCCTGCCCCCCCCTTAACTTTTACAAATCTCAACCTTATGAGCTAAAATTCGGTAGGGATCTTCAGTTTTAAGTGTAGATTACAGGAAAAATATAGCGAACCTGATTGGTGGAGATATTTGGGAACTAGAAGGGAAAGAAATTGAATTTTTTTGAAAAAATTGCAAAAAATGACCCTGTCCCCCCCCTTAACTTTTACAAATGTCAACATTATGAGCTAAAATTTGAACTCGATTGACGGACATATTTGCGAACTAGAAGGGAAAGAAATTTAATTTTTACGAAAAAATTGCAAAAAATGACTTTTCTCTCCCCCTTTTGAACTTTTAGGAATCTTAATCTATATGTAATAAAAATACATATGTGTACCGAATTTCAGCTCAATAGGTTTATATATGTTAATATTAATCAATTATATTTCTTATATATATTTTTTTTTATAAAAAATGAGTTTTATTTTGGTGTACGGAAATAATATTGATTGGGAACGCGTCAGTTTAAAAATTATCCGCCATATTGGATCCGCAATTTAAAATTTTAAAAAACCGACCTCAAATTCTAATTCAGCGACCCCAAAAACCTTATATACACTACCGTCCATAAGTATCAGGACGCCCCTTTTTTCATGAGTGGAAAAATGCTTAAAACTTAGAAAATAAGAATGACAAAAATTTTTCGTATTTTTTTCCTGAAAGCTAATGAAATTATGAAAAGACTGACACCTGATCGAAGAATTTTCGTTGACTATTCTGTCAGATACTGAAAAAATACTGGATTTTGCATGCTTTTTGTAATTTTTTAATTTCTCGAAAACTAATTAACTTTTATTAGCGCTCTTGGTCTTGTTTAAATCTCTATTTAATGTAGAATCTAAATTATTAACTGCACTGAGAGACCTTTGGGTCAGCAGCAGACTTTCGATAGGCTGCTACTGACCATTTTGGAGGAACGCTACAGGTCTATAATTTTGGGTTGCTGCGGTAAAATCTTGGGCGCGTGACAGTCCCAAAGTTGTTCAGCTGCAAACCAAAGGCGGCATCCCCACTACTTCGGTGAGCTGCTCACCAACATTTGGGACTGTAACGCGCCCAAAATTTTACCACTGCGCACCAAAACCATAGTGGAGCTGCTGTCACATACGTTGTTCCGCTACAGTCCCAAAGGTCTCTCAGTCCCTGTCCCCCCCTTTAACTTTTACAAATCTTAACTTGATAAGCTGAAATTCGGCTGGGATCTTCAGTTTTAAGTGCAAATTACAGGAAAAATATAGCGAACCTGATTGGCGGCGATATTTGCGAAATTGAAGGGCAAGAATTTGAATTTTTCCAAAAAATTACACTGTCCCTACTTTAACTTTTATAAATTTAAACCTGGTGAGTTAAAATTCAGTTTGTATATTCTTTTTCAAGTGCAAATTATAGAAAAAATAAAGAGAATGTGATTGGCGAAGATAAGTACTATAAAAGAAAAAATATAAAGATTTATTGATAAAATAAAATAATAAAATTATTTATTCGAAATTTAAAAAAATATATTACTATTTTTTTAATTATTTTTTTCAAATTTTGTAAGAATTTTTGAAATAATTTTTTTATAAAAAATGAGTTTTATTTTGGTGTACGGAACCCTTGATCTTAATGCGAGTGCAACTCGCACTTGTCCGATTTTTTTACTTTTCGCCCCATGCTGGGGCGAAAAGTTAAATGGCTGGGGCAAAATGTTAAATTCTATTTTTAGCCTACTAAAACTATTTTCTGATAGGTGTTAAGTAGTAGATAAGTTAAAGTATACGTAAACAAGTAACTTAGTTAATAAAAGATCTTTGTTTATTTAACAAAAGCTTTAGAATAGTTATAAAGTTAATAAATTGAAATTTCAAAACAAAAATTTTTTTTGGTTTATTTCAGGTGAACGGTTTTCTTTTTTGACAGAGTTAAATAAATAAATACATGTTAAATAAATAATTTTTAAACAAATAAACCCAAAAAAACGAAAAATAAAAAAAAATTTAACATGTAAAAATACATTTAACTTTTCGCCCCAGGGTGCGTTTTTGGCTTTAACAACAAATATAACAAATCTGACTAAAGATATTTAGCAAATATCTTTAAGTAGGTATCTCTTCAGGGGACCCAAATAAGGACCTAAAAAAATCGCGGTGAGAATAAATTCAAAAAATATACTTAAAAGTTGATATTTTCTTTTACGAAAAAATTTTAAAAAGTAGGGTGAAAAAAAATTTAAATATGGACACCACAAAAATAAACAGAATGTCACATAACTCCGAATATTTATTTAGGGTGATAACACCCTTCCATAATTAAAATTTCAATGCTCTAACTATTTCCGTTTGATACACGGAAAGAAATCTGCTAGTATTATATCACTGGGCGGCCAATAGACTTATTCCATCGGACCCCCACCACTAATTTTCAGGCCGAGTAGATGCTATTAGTCCATCGCTGCATAGTATTATTCTATGCAGAGATGGACTAATTCCATCTACTCGGCCTGAAAAGTAGTGGTGGCGTCAGATGGCATAAGTCTATTGGCCGTCCAATGGTATAATACTACTATCCGCGAGAAAATGATAGGCCCCTGAAAAATGTTCGAGTTTGACTTGAAATATCTCTGTTAAAAAAATTATTTGAAAAAAATGAGAAATATTTTTGAAAAGCGTGGAATCTCATATGTTTGTATACGAAAGGCCAATATTGAAAAAAAAATTTTGCACCGTACAGGTGCAAAATTACATCACAGTGTACCCCATTTTTCGACATTTTCAAAAATGGTCGACTTTTGTACAAGATTTTAGATGGAAGCGATTATTCAAAAAATTCTAAAAAAGAACTATTTATTAAATGAATCTGTCTAAACGAATTTGCTTTATAATTATTAATAAATCTTAATTATTATTGTATTTATTAACAATAATAGGAGGCAATGTTATCTCTGGTTCTAATAGTCTAATTGAAATAAATCAAATTGGATGTTGTAAATAATTAATCTTTTTATTATCTTAGATCATTAAAAAAACGAAATTCTTCTATTAACTACATTTTACAACATTTATTTGGACAGTTTTTTTTTCTTGAGAACAAGTGTAAAACGGTTGCAAAAACCCAATTTTTTCGACAAAATCTTAACCCTGTCATAAATAATACTACGAACTTCTCCAAAATGTGGACTCAGAATAAAGCTTAGAATTTTTTTCACATAGGCTATACAGTGCATGCCAGATTTTTATTTATGACAGGGTTAAGATTTTGTCCAAAAAATTGGGTTTTCGCAACCGTTTTACACTTGTTCTCAAGAAAAAAAACTGTCCAAATAAATGTTGAAAAATTTAATTAATAGAAGAATTTCGTTTTTCTTAATGAGCTAATATAGTAAAAAGATTAATTATTTACAACATCCAATTTGATTTATTTCAATTAGAGTAATAGAACCAGAGATAACATTATCTCCTATTATTGTTAATAAATATAAAAATAATTAAGAATTTTTAATAATTATAAAGCAAATTCGTTTGGACAGATTCAATTAATAAATAGTCCTTTTTTCGGATTTTTCGAATAATCGATTCCATGTAAAATCTTGTACCAAAGTCGACCATTTTTGAAAATGGCAAAAAATGGGTACACTGCTGTGTAATTTTGCACCTGTACGGTGCAAAATTTTTTTTTCCAATATTGGCCTTTCGTATACAAACATATGAGATTCCACGCTTTCCAGAAATATTTCTCATTTTTTTCAAATAATTTTTTTAACAGAGATATTTCAAGTCAAACTCGAACATTTTTCAGGGGCCTATCATTTTCTCGCGGATAGTAGCAGATTTCTTTCCGCGTAGATAATTAATTTTAACTGTTTTAACAGTTTAACCTTTCACCCCAGTCTCCACTATGTTTAAAATTTTTTTTAAATTCTCCTAAAAATTTCAATTACTTTTTATAAATAGTAAAATTCTTTGCAGAAATTCAATTATTATCAATACATTTTAATAAAATGGAATTAATCAAATTTTCAATTATAGTTATGAGCAGACAAGATTATTTTAAAAAATTGAAAAAATTCTTTGTTTAGTTCAATTATTTTCCAAATTTTTAATTAAAATTACTTTAAAAAATATTATTTTT